TGCTTAAAAATAGTGTTATTTTTATTTGATTTATTTAACATCAACCATTAGAAGGTAGAATAAACTATAATATACTAAGAAGTGTTTAAGAAATTTTATAAATTATAAATACAAAATCAATTTAAATGCATAACAACCATTAGATGGTAGAATATTCTACAATATCAAAGCATATTTTAGATATATTCCACTCTGTTTACAGGTTTTTCTTAAGCAAACCAAAAAAAAATGCACTCTTATTTATAGGCACTTTCCCTCTATATTAAACTTCATTAAAGTCACTTTTTTTACTTGTTGATAGGTCACTTCCAAAAACTCCACTGATATGTACAACTTGAAACTCAAAACAGGAGACTGAAGCCATATTGAGGTGATGGTGAATCCGCTTGTCTCCGTTGGCTGCCTCCCAGAGTTTAACAGGGTTGAAGCTCACCATGTTGTTCCAGGGGTCAAGCAAGTTGTCAAGGAACTGGTACGTGTAGATTTTATGATAAAAAATTGTCATTGTCCTCCAGGAAGAGGATTTGCTTGAGCTGGAGTGCTTTGCTGCCTCAAGTTTTGGAGAGAATGGTGGCGATCTGTGGGAGGCGCTCATCCATCCCTTCGAATGCATTCTCGATCGCTTGACTGTGGTATGGGGGATTGTTTCGCATCTCAAGGATGTCAACGATTCTGACGCTCTTCGAGCTGCTGTGGACGAAGCACAAGTAGCTTTACCTGTTCTTTCTCTTGAGTTTTAGGACTGTTGTGCAGCCCTTGAGAACGAACTTTTTGTTGAGGTTAGGACAGAGCAACGCTTTGTATCAGGCGTTTGAGAAGATCCGCAGTGGTGCCTTGTTCGATACACTGAACGAAGCTCAGCAACGAGTTGTAGAAGGTATGTGAGCGCTTCATTTGATCTCTTGTGGAGTTCTCTCTCTTTTGTTTTCTTCAGGACGTTTGAAAGATGCCATACTAAATGGAGTGGCATTAGAACATGAGAAGAAAGTGCATTTTAATGAGATCCAACAGGTATATATATGTGTTTGTTCTTGGCTAACATTTCAAAGTTTTGCAGGAGCTATCATAGGTATCGTACATTCATCACATCCAAGATTCAATGAAATTTAACATCACGAATTAAACATACCTAGATAATATTGAGGCGCCCAAAGCTGGTGCTGGCGGCATCACTCTTCATCACACAATGCAATACTGGTACGTGAAGTTAACACGAAGAATCATAGTCCCGAGTGATCGATCGAAACTCTGATCGCAGGTTTCTGGACCGAGCAGCCACAATCGTCAACGGAGAGCACCACGGCTCCGAAAAGATCAATCCGTGGAGGCTACGCCCGGTGAGCCATGTAGAGGAGCTCAAATTGCTGCTGCGAATGACGCCCGTGTGGGCGACGGGCATCCCGATCTTCGTGGCGTGGTGGCAGCAGAGCACGTTTTGGATCGGGCAGGGCTACGTCATGGATCTCCGCATGGGATCCTCCCCGCACGCTTTCAAGATGCAGCCCGTGACGCTCCCGGTCTTCTCCCTCCTCACGATGATGATCTTCCTCCCCTTCTACGACAAGCTCGTCGTCCCGCTGGCCGCCAAGGTCACCAGGAACCCGCGCGGCATCACCTTCCTCCAGAGGATTGGCGTGGGGATCACCTTCGCCGCCTCGGCGATGCTGGTGGCGGGCGCGGTGGAGGTGAAGCGGCGGCGCCTCGGATTCGCCCACCCCCTCTCGTGCTTCTGGCTGGCCCCCCAGTTCTGGCCTCTCCGAGGCCTTCGTCACCATCGGCTACCTCGAGTTCTTCTACGATCAATCGCCGCCCAGCATGAGGAGCATGGCGGCGGCGGCGGTGTGGGCGATCATCGGCACTGGCAACTACGTCAGCACCGCCATCGTGGCGCTCATCAAGCGGTCAACGAGGATCTCGATGACCGAAAACCTCGAGTACTTCTACTGGGTGCTGGCGGGCTGCCTGGCCGTCGATTTCGTGGCTCACCTTCTTGTCTCTACGTTCTACACGTACACAAAGCCGGACTACGCCGACGACGGCGATCAAGTTCCCATTGCGATGATTTAGAATATATCATATTACATTGGTCTTTAATAGATGACTATACTTGCTCCACCTTTTTCAAAACCTTCCCATTTTCCTCGGGCACGTCGTTCCAGCGCTTGTACCTATACCACCTTGCCACCACCATGTAGACTCCGAGATTGACGGTCAGGATCCCCGCCAGCATCCAGTAGAACAAATCCAGCCGTCCGCGGTTGATGTTATCGGGCACCCAGTTGGTCCTGGCGTGCACGGCGCTCACCATCGCGGTGCTACAATAGTTACCACCGCCAATCACCATCCAAAACACCGCCGTGGCCATGCTTCGCATGCTCTCGGGCGACTGATCGTAGAAGAACTCGATCTGGCCGATGGAGAGGAAGAGCTCCGTCACCCCAATGAGCACGTACTGCGGGAGCAGCCAGAAGATCGAGATGGGGATGGTCCGGTCGGGGGAGTCGAGCAGCCCCGCGGCGGCGGCGGCGCTGCGCCGCTTCACCTCGGTGGCGGCGGCGGCCACCATGACGAGGATGGAGACGACGAGGCCGATGGCGATCCTCTGGAGGGAGGTGAGGCCGCGGGGGTGGCCCGTGATCCGGCGCAGCACTGGGATCCCCAGCTTGTCGTAGACCGGGATGAGGACGAGCAGCGCGAGAGTGGTGAATGCCGTCATCGATCCGGGCGGGATCTCGAAGGAGCTGGAGGCGACGAGGCGGCGGTCCATTGTCCGGCCCTGCTGGACCCAGAAGGTGCCCTGCTGCGCCCACGCCGTGTAGACGAGCACGCCCGTGCATAGGACGGGTAGCAGCCGGAGCAGCAGCTTGAGCTCCTCCACGCTGTGGACGCTGCTCACCTTCCAGGGGTTCACATCGCTGCCGCTGCGCCGCTGGTCATCGTCTGTTACGATCGCAGCTTTGTCCAGGAATCTGGCAGAGCGCAGGATATGGAAATGTGAATCTCTCAAGAACCCTAATCTTGGAAAACCCTAAAAGCGAAGGGGAGAGACACCTAAAAACAGAGGTACGGGTAATATCACCTGAATTGATCCGTGTGGAGCAGCCGCGTGGGCGAGTGGAGCTTGTCCTTGGCCCCAAACAGCTCCATCGGATCGTTCGGCAGCTCTAGCTTGCGCTTCTTCACGGCGGCGGCCATGACCTGGAAGAGCCTGGTGATGGGGCTGCCGGTGGGGCGGGCGATCCGGTAGATGGGCGTGCCGGCCACGAAGCTGATGACGGACAGCGCCATGAGCACGGCGGGGAGGCCGAATCCGACGGCCCAGCCGACGTTGTCTTGGATCCACACGAACACGGTGGAGGTGATGAGCGTGGCGAGCTGGAGTGTGAAGTAGTACCAGTTGAAGAAGTGGAGGATCTGGGTGCGCTGCTTGGGATCCTCCTCGTTGAATTGGTCCGCCCCAAATGCAACGACGCATGGCCGAATCCCGCCCGAGCCCGCGGCCTGCAAAACGAAGGAGAGGTACAGGAATCCCAGCTGACCCACTGTCGAGCGCTCGCACAGCGATGATTTCGCCGCGCATTGGTCGGGTCTCAGGCTGGGAACCAGGGCTTGGATCGTGAGAACGAAGGATCCCTGCCAAGCCACCAGGCAAATCAGTGCTCCACAGTTGAGATTGATCCTTTCTAGGCTTCTAGTATCTGATTCTCTTGTTCTTTCTCTGGTTTTCTTCTCTTCTTCTTTGACTTATCCTCGATCTTACAATGATTATATCTAATCGATCATTCCCCTCGTAGAATCTACAGGAGAAGGCTCTATCTATCCAAACTTTTGGCTAGATGGAGGGATGGATGGTTTCTTACCAGTGTGAAGAGGATAGAGCCCAAGAGCACCACCCAGTAGCGACCAACATACGCATCAGCGATGATGGCACCGACAAAGGGTGTGAAGGCTGCGGTCCCGCTGAAAGTGGTGAGGGTGTTGGACGCATCGGCCGGCTTGAAATGGAGCTGCTGGACGAGGTATGTCACCAGATTCACTTGCAGTCCAATGACTCCCAGCTTCTCAGTCGCCTCGTTCCCTGCAAGTCAAGCAGCAAAGCGACATGACGATCTTCTAGATCCTTGCAGAATTCTCGAGGGAGAGAGTTATACCAAAGATGAAAGGACTTGTCTTCCAGCCTCCTTTCACGATTCGGCGGCCTCGCCAAGTCGTGCTCCACTCAGGATCCTCGGCTCGCTGGGCTCCCTCGGGTCCTGCCTCGAGATTCATGCTGGATTTGTGTAACTCGACAGCGTGCTCCTCCTGCCAAAACAAGACACGGCCCATGCATCACAAAAACGATCCGGAATCAAAGCCAGGTTTTGCGAAAAGGTATCCAATCACTCAACCGACCATGTATGGAGATGGCGATTCTTTTCGTGTAGCGCGGAGAGATCAAACACGAAGAAGAACAAGTTTGAGATGCATTTTATAACCATGATCCACATCAATGACGGGCCTGCAAAGATAGGATCCGACCGCTCTTGTCTCGTCCGCAAGACTTCTTCCATCGAAAGAAACATGTCTACGAAATTTGCTTTCGGGGAGCCCGTGGATATACAAAGGGACAAAAGGTTGACGGGCTGGCTGAAGACACCAAATTGAAGCAAACTACACAACAGCATGATCTTTGCTCAGAATCACGACCGCTTTTCCACTGCCACTGATTGGCACTGAGAGTTTTTCAATTGTAAAAGTTGTTCAGTGCTTGCTGAAAGATCTTGACAAGCATTACGTTAAATCCCTGATGCGATAACGAAAGAACTTAGATATGTTCATTTTTTTGCCAGAAAATAAACATTCAAACTAATCATTGAAGTTAATTAGTTGATTCCTGACGATCCAAGTCCAATTTGGCGCCATTGATTGTCTTAAGCAAAGAAGTTCTCTAGAAAACAGTTTCCAGGTTTCTAGGAAAGTCCAGGTGGTCCCGAAAAATACGTCTTTATTATTATCTGATGCAATGGGCACTTCATGGAGGGCATTGGCAACGCAGTGTGGACGGGCGCGCTGCTCGTGTTGCTAGCACTGGTTGCGAAGCTATGGCGATCGATCGTCACCAGGTTCTGGCTGGAGCCAAGATCGCTCGACGCAAGGATTCAAAGCCAGGGTATCCAGGGGCCGCCAAGGACTTTCATCGCAGGCAACATGCTCCAGGTGATGACGATGAGAGACACTGGCAAGGAGCGGGACATGGAAGGACGACGTTGTGAAGCATGTGTTGCTGGATTACCACCAGTGGTAATATGGTAACTTCTCCTCGTAAATTCCTGTACTCTGGACGATTTCTTCGCAGGAAAGAGGTATTGCTAATGGTGGGCGACGGAGCCCAGGATCAAGGTCACGGAGCCCGAGCTCATCAGAGAAGTTCTATGCCGGAGAGCGATACAATGTCATGGAATGTGATATGCCCGGCGGCGGAGGAGGCCAAAGCTCTATACGAGAGAATACCCGAGAAAGACCTCGTCTCGTCCACCTCGATGCTCCAATCTCTCGCCCACGAGCATCGAGTTCCAGGCTACCACATCGAGCTCCGGCATGCGCAGAAAGAACTTCCACGCGTATCCACACGCTCCAAGCAAGAACGTCGTGCTGGATCATCCCTTCAAACATCTCTCGTGCTTCTACCTTTCTCGAGGCGAGGATGAAAGCTTGTAGCATTGAGTTGGAGCTGGCTAGATTATGCTTGGGCACTGCGTCGAAGATCTCCTTGGCTTGCTCAAGATTTCCCCCTGTGAGCATACGAAACCACCATTTGCTCAAACAGCTCCCTCGATTCCTCCAAGAGCCCCATCTCCGAGCAAGCCCCATTCTCCGAGCAAGGAATCATGGCATTCCAAACAACGATGCTTCGCCGTGGCATTGTGGTGAGATATGCCTGGCCTTGTGGATTTGCCCGGTCTGGTAGCGATCATCATGGTGTAGGAGGCCTCGTCGTGATCAGGCATGAAATTCCGGAAGAATGCCACTGCCTCTTCGATCCTGCGATGTAAAACGTACCCTTTTGGAGCATCGAATTCCATTCTGCGCATTGCTTGCAATTGCCAGATTCATACGCCTGGTTCAAAATCGTCCATGCGACGGCATTGTGCTCAGCCATCACCGAATCGAAGATCCTTCGCGCGTCGGCCACAAACCTTGCCTGCGCTAGAGCATGAAGCGAGAGACGACATTCCATTCCGGAATCCCGTGCAGGAAGAGATCCATCGCGGCCGTCCGCGCGTATCCATCGATCATCACCGTCCACGTGGCGAGAGAAGAGCGTTTGCTGGAGCAGGCGGCCATGAAACTCTTCTCCGGCATTGGCATCGAAAATCTCTTAGTGCCCGTTTTGGGCATAGGCCTGGATCATCGCGTTCCATGTTACGGCATTCTTCCGAGGCATCCATTGGAAGATCCCTCGCGCCTCTCGCAACGCGCTCTGCCCCAATCCAGTGATCATCGTCGTCATTCTTGGTAGCTTCCTCGCGTCGGCGATTTGGCTGTGCTGGGCATACGTCGTGATCATCGAGTTCTCTTTCCTTGCATCGAGTCGAAGATCTGGCGAGCGGACTGGATGTCGCCATTCTGTGCGTATGCCGAGAGGAGGATGTCGCGAGAAAATAGATTGAGCTGCTTGATCTGATCGAAAACCAGGCGAGCTTCACGCAATCTCCCACACGTCCCATACATTTGTATGAGGAGATTCGCAAGAAAAGTGTTCTGCTTGCTGTGGCGGATCCGACTAGCCTGAGCTTGTCGGCCTCTGTTAAAAGCGTTGCTCTTGGTGGTCTTGCTGCTCTTGGCAGTCGAGAGGACCAAAAGCCGAGTAGATCTTCTTGTTGCTAAGTGGACGTCGAGCAAGTGTTGGTTCTTCTCGGCCTGCGCTTTGAAAATCTGGCCGTGTCTACTTTAGCAGTTCCCCAGGACTCCTGCTCCTCCTGCTTGATGTTTCGCTGCATTTCCTACGCAACGACCATTTCACTGGACAATTCAGCTTGTGACGCTAGGAGGTTCGCGGCGGTTCTTCGATTTTGCAGCAGAACCAGGGATCTGCCGCGGGGAAAAGAGATTTACGGTCAGGCGACTGTGCAGCGAGCAGCTATCTCGCGAATTTGGCAATCCGGAGCCTGCAAGAAGCAAGAGAGATTTTCTATCGCATGGGCTCTGCGAGGAATCGCTTCTCTTGGGACAATATGATCGCTGCTTATGCCCAAAATGATGCAATGCCAGAAAAGAACTGAGTTTCATGGACGGCTATCCATGCCCAATGCGGGCATTTGCTAAAAGCAACCTAGTAGGGACATTTTCCCCTGGAATTCAATGATCCAAGCGTACGGACAGAGAGGGCATCTCCAAAAATTTCGTGACATTTGTGAAAGAATGCTTGACCACGACATTGTGACGTGGCATTGTGTCTACACCTCATTCAAGCCGACACACCATGCTGGAGGGAAATGAGATATCTTGAACGATCACAACCGTCACCCACATGCAAATCTGGCAGCTCCAGAATGTGAAGTCTGTCTTCGAAAGGGTGCCGGAATGGAATGTGTTATGGATGGATATGGATTAAATGGTAGAATAAATTAAAATATACTAAGAAGTGTTTAAGGAAGTTTTAATCTAAATGAATAAGAACCAATAGATAGTAGAATATCCTATAATATCAAAGCATATTTTAAGTATATTCACTGCCACCCACTCTTTTTATGAGAAAACCAAAAAAAATGCACTCTTATTTATAGACACTTTTTTTATATTTAAATCTCATTAGAAGTCATTTTTTGATTTGCTTAAGCAAACCTGTAAAGGCACTGTAACCTGTATTGGATTAATAAGTAAAAATTGGTATGCATTGCATGTAGCAATGTTTGGTTTGCTTATAAGTAGTGTTATTCTTACTTATTAGTTCATTTGATCAAATAAAATTTATAATTATATAGTTTATCATAAGATTAATCTTATTGCATATCAACCATTAAAAGATAGAATAGAAAAGAATATACTAAAAAAGGTTTTAAAAAGTTTATAAATTATAATCATGTTTATAAATTATAAATACAAGATTAATCTAAATGAATAACAACAATTAGATGGTAGAATATCCTAGAATATTTAAGCATATCCTAGGTATATTCAATACTATCTCTAAAGGTTTGCTTAAGCAAACCAAAAATAACGGCATAACAATTTATTTTAATTGTTGAGATATGTAAAACTTGATTAAGCTTTTTGTTTCTCTAAATTTTTCCTCAAAACAAAGAGGTCTACTTTACACAGCTTGTCTATCACTAATTATATTGATTAATATTTAGGTTATAGAAGTGGAGACTGAAGCCATATTGAGGTGATGATGAATCCGCTTGTCTCCGTTGGCTGCCTCCCAGAGTTTAACAGGGTTGAAGCTCACCATGTTGTTCCAGGGGTCAAGCAAGTTGTCAAGGAACTGGTACGTGTAGATTTTATGATAAAAAATTGTCATTGTGGTGTTTATTTCTTCCTCCAGGAAAAGGATTTGCTTCAGCTGGAGTGCTTTGCTGCCTCAAGTTTTGGAGAGAATGGTGGCGATCTGTGGGAGGCGCTCGTCCATCCCTTCGAACGCATTCTTGATCACTTGACTGTGGTATGGGGGATTGTTTCGCATCTCAAGGATGTCAAGGATTCCGACGCTCTTCGACCTGCTGTGGACGAAGCACAAGTAACTTTACTTGTTCTTTCTCCTGAGTTTTAGGACTGTTGTGCAGCCCTTGAGAACGAACTTTTTGTTGAGATTAGGACAGAGCAAGGCTTTGTATCAGGCGTTTGAGAAGATCCGCAATGGTGCCTTGTTCGATACACTGAACGAAGCTCAGCAACGAGTTGTAGAAGGTATGTGAGCGCTTCATTTGATCTCTTGTGGAGTTCTCTCTCTTTTGTTTACTTCAGGACGTTTGAAAGATGCCATACTAAATGGAGTGGCATTAGAACATGAGAAGAAAGTGCATTTTAATGAGATCCAACAGGTATATAGATGTGTTTGTTCTTGGCTAACATTTCAAAGTTTTGCAGGAGCTGGAGAAATTACTGAACAAATTCAGTGAAAATGTGCTGGACTCCACCAAGTTGTTTGGGAAGCTGGTGACTGATATTTCTGTTCTTGAAGGCTTGCCGGAAACGGCTCTTTCTCTTGCTGCACAAGCTGCAGTATCCAACGTAAGATCCTTAAGTTCGCTATTGATAATGCTTTGGTCATGTTGTATTTTTTGCAGGGATACGAAGGCGCCAATGCGAAGAGTGGACCGTGGCTGATAACTCTGGACAGTTCCATGTACTCGGCAGTGATGAAATTTGCGAGAAACCGTGACCTTCGCGAGGAAGTATATCGCGCAGACATCACAGTGGCCTCCGGAGAGAGTTTTGATAACTTCCCTGTAATTACAAGAATTCTCGAGCTTCGCCAGCAGAAAGCGGAATTGTTAGGATACGAAAACCACAGGTAATATTACCTATACATAGAGTCTAAAAAGTTCTTTTTAGTACAGGTGAGTATGCTTCAAAAGATGGCCACACTGGATTCTTGTCATGCACTTCTCGAAAAACTGCATAGTTGTTCACGAGATGCTGCTATTCGAGGTCTATGTTCTCTCTGCTATCAAAGCTTATTGCAAGTGTTTTCTTTTTCGTTGATCTTCGTTTTAGACATGCGGGAGCTTGAGGAATTTGTGAGAAGTGAAAACTCAGAAGAAGATGAGAATTTGTTCCACTGGGACATTCCATATTGGACGGAGCGCTTCAGGGAGGCCAAGCTTGACATGAATGATGTAAGTTTTCCTTCCAAGGCTTGGTCATATTTGCTCACTTTATTTTGGAATTCTGAGGAACTCAGGCCGTATTTCTCCATGCCTAATGTCATGGATGGCCTGTTCAGCCTTGCGAAGCGCTTGTTTGGCGTCCACATTGAAGAGTTGGAAGAAAATACACCAGTAAGCGTGCATGCCAAAACTATGATCCATCTATCTCAATCTGAATAACAGGTCTGGGACAAAGAAGTTAAGCTTTACAAGGTGGCCGAATGCGCCAGCGGAGAAAATCTGGGATACTTTTACCTGGACCCATTCTCGAGGCCGCACCAGAAGAGAAGTGGAAATTGGATGGGCGTAGTCTTTAACAGAAGCCATGCAGCTGTGCAAAAAGGTGGCGTTGTGCGATTGCCTGTCGCTCATATTGTCTGCAACCAGGCACCACCATTACCCGATCAGCCAAGCTTGATGACGCAGTAGGCTTTTTTATATTCATGATCTTATGGGTAGCGCTGACAAGTTTGACGGAGCACTTATGATTGAAACTTTGCAGGTGACAATGCTGTTTCATGAGTTCGGGCATGCTTTGCAGCACCTTTTGAGCAAACAGGACGAGGGTCTTGTGGCTGGATCCGAAGGAATAGAGTGGGATGCAGTCGAGATTCCCTCCCAGTTTATGAAGAACTGGTGCTATGACAGGTCTGATTCGATTGTAACAAACTAGTCTTCAACTAATCTCGTGATCGCAGGAACACTTTGATGAGCTTTGCAGTGCACTATAGAACTGGCCAAGAGCTCCCAGAGGCGCTATATACGAAACTCAAGTCGTCAAGAACGTTTTTCTCGGCTTCAAACGTTCTTTATCTGGTAAGCCGAATGAAGAAAAGTTTTCTTGGAATAATTTCTCGTTTTTGAATGCACACAGGTTTCCCGATCTCTGATTGATCTCAAGCTGCATGCAAAGCTCGAAGCCGTGAATTCGAAAGAGATTTACAACTTGTGCAACAAGGTTGCAGGGGAGATATTGATACCCCCTTTGCCTGAAGACAAGTCCATCTGCAAATTCCTCCACTTATTCGCCAGTATGTGTTTTGCCTCTATTTCTAATCTCTCCTGTATTTTTTCTCTTGTTGGTTGTCATTCTTGTAGCAACTGAGTATGCAGCTGGTTACTATAGCTACCTGGTAAGCTGGCCTCAGAAAACATCCTGACACTCAAAAAGAATCTTGGTATGATTCTGTGCAGTGGTCCGAGGTTCTGTCATCAGATGCTTTTGGAGCGTTTGAAGAAGCAGGCCTTGAAAATGAAACTGTGAGTGAAAACAATCAGGAGTGGGAAGCAATTGTTTCACTTTTGTATGTTTCACAGGCTGTTAAGGAGGCAGGAAAATTATTTAAGCAGACAATTCTTGAGCTTGGTGGAGGCAGAGCGCCTGCTAAAGTAAAACTTTTGATAAATTTACACGAAACTCACGACGAGCTCTGCAGGTTTTTGAAGATTTCCGTGGAAGAGGCCCCAGCATAAATGCTCTTCTCAGGCATAGAGGTCTCGTGGTATAAATGTTGGTATATATATTGCTGCTTATCTAATAGCATAATCACTAAAAAAACCATGACTTCGAAAACAAAATGCTCGTGAGGAGCTAGCAATGGAGGACGAGTCCGCGAGTAAACACTGGAATTTCACGGTACACTCCTGCTCCGATCTTAATAAGATGGTTACTCCGTGGACGCTGTGCAGAGAAAGCCCGATCGCATCAGAGCCGAGGCCGCCGAGTACCGAAAGCTGCTACCTCTTCGCCTCAAGGAGCAGTGATAGCGGTGGGCGTCTCGTTCTCGGTCGCCTCCACTTGAATACAGGCTAAAGTTCATGAAGAAGCTGGAGCCAGACTACGCGCGGACGTAAGCTTCGGGGGCGACTCTTTTCCTTGGGTGAGGACTTATGACAGAAGCAAAGTGAAGAGAAACGCTGCAGGAGCAAAAATTCTCGAGCGAGTGATATTGGCATGAAGACTTAGATGGAACAACCGATCAGAGAGAGCCGGATCGCTCATAACAAACACACGAATTAGAGACAAGCTTGCGTGAGCTGGAGCTGCTATTAGACTAGGAGAACATATGAATTTTATTGAGTGTGGGGTCTCCTAGGGCGACCAAAACAACACAGACATCAGCAACGTAATGGAAGAAAGAAAAAAAGATTACCATTTGTTCAGGGCCCATACTTGTTGGTTACATTCGGGCCGCTGATGCTGGTTCCCGGCCCGCTTGGCCCTTCGGCTTTGGCATCGTGGCCTCCCTTGAGTGATGGCATTGGCATTGGCATGTCATCTCCATCACCCTGCCCAAAAGAGCTAGCCACTAGGAGGAGGGTAAAGACAACAAGAAACTTTGCAAGAGTCATTGAGAGTATTCGACGAGAGCAAGTTCGTGGTGGATTTGTGTTGTTTTATAGCCAAGGATCGTACACCACCAATATGCATGAGCAAGCCATGCTCTTTCTTTCCTTCGTTGTTGGTGGAATAGTCGATTGAATTTAATCTAACACCCGTGGGATAGCAATTTGTTTCCTGTAATTTGGATATGATTTTTTCCTTCTTCTCAGGAGCTAGAGTAAACTTGTAGGGCTTTCGACGAGAATGGCTCGAAGAGTAACTTTGCCAATGCAAGGTGAACCTTTTCTTTTTCTTTCTTCTTTGTCCAGCCTTTGATCGTGAAAAAAAAAAAGATTATAGAATGTTGCCTTTTACTAGGGAGTCCCGAGGCTTTGGATTTGTGACGATGGAGACGACGACAAATACCTCCATGATCTCTTCATGGAACTGTATGGTTTTCTCCTGGTGTATGAGGAGTGTCTAGTTGTTCTTTTCAGGTGTCTCAAATCAAACAAGCAGCTCGATCAACTGCTGAGCTTCCATGCTGCAGGCCAAAACAAAACGCGCCCGTTCAATTCCTGGTAACTAGCTTAGCGTGAGGAGGAAGTTCTCCATGGGGCTGTGGCCACAGAGACTGGACTTTTCAAAAGCTAGAGGCTTGACGAGCCCACACACAAATGCGCTGTAGATTGTTTAGTTTCCTGGACTTGGATCTTACAAAGCTTGCAAGGATCTTCCCAGGTGAAAGATCGCTATCGCCGAGTTTAGGTCGCCGGATCTCACGGAAGGAGAGAGCGCCGCCAGCTCGTGGATCCGGCCAAAATGTTCCAGGATCGTGCTCCGGGAGATGACGCTGGGGAATCGAATGCCATCAAAGATAAGATCCAAATCCCCAGCTTTGGCCGCCGCCGCCCGCTGCGGTGGAGGAAACCACATCCAATTCAGGCATCCTGGCCAGGATCGAGCGCACACGAGAGAGATCTCTGCTGGCGAGGATCGAGAGTACACGAGAGAGAATCTCTGCTGCTGGCGAGGCAGGAGAGGAAGATTTGGCGCCAGGAGAAGGGATTCCTGGCGGAAGAGGGGGATGCTGGATTTGGATGAGGAGGTTGAGGAAGATGCCGTAGGTGGACATGAATCGCGATTGCAGCACCAAAAACAGAGTAGCATTTTGGCGGGATCTTCCTACACGAATATACCTGGAGATGGAAGATATATCAGAGCGAAAAAGGGAATTTTTTTTTCACGGGCATTTGGGCTTTCCCTTGTTGTTGAGGACGGCATGGTATGGGCACTCTTTCTTGCTCGCTTTTGGGCCATTTGGAACGCAAAAGCACTTGCTACAACATATGTTACACATCTTGTTGCACATCTCGGGCTCCCATGAGTTAGAGAGCATCGGTACTTGCAGTTTCCTCAACAGTCTGCGAAAGAGAAACAAAAACCCATCACTTATACTCGATCCAACCAGCAAAAATAGAAGCTCGAAACTTAAGAAACAGTGAAAGATGTCTCACCGATTCCAGTCAAATCTCTGCTGCCAAGAACCACATTGCCATTCTGCCACACACAAAAAGAAAAAGAGATTCGTTAAAACACGATCCCGAAGAACTCAATCAGGCAATGCACCTCGGCAATCACAAAAATGAGCAGGACGAGAAATGCTAGCCACTTCAAAGCCAGAGCCATTTTGCTAGAACTCCTCGTTTCTACCACGAAGAACACACCTGAAGACTCTGCAAGAAGAAACAACGAATGCTCTAGTGGAAGAGAAGAGTGGCGTTTTATAAGTCAGGAATTGACCTCCCTGTGGAAGAATTGCGGCACCTTGTGAAGCTAACTGTATTAAATCTAAAGATTGTCTGTCTGCCAAGCCATTGCGATGGAAGGCTGCTCCATTTAGATATCTTTGCACAATATATCTATCTCGTATAGTCGCCTCTTTGTCTGCCAGATCCTGGAAAAGAAATAACTATGATCAAACTCTTTACCTTTTCTTCTTGGCTTAACTAATAAATGTGGGTTTACGAGAGCCTCAGCGCGAAGAGCGACCTGTTTTGAGCTTAGAGTAAGAATATTCTTGAATATTATCTACTGAAGAATATTCTTAAACAGGGCGACGAATATGCCTCCATAAACCCTAGATTGCGAGGGAAATGTTTGATGCCTGGGACGCAATGGGCGAGGCGCGCGGCCAGGGAATGCTTGGCTCGAGCTCGATCGCCGCCGGCATCGCAACGGGGCGGAGGAGGAGGGCGGGCAAGCGCTGGCGAGGAGGTGAATCTTGTCGAGCAGCAGCGTGGCTTGATCGCCGCGCTCCAGGAATGCAAGCAGTCTAGGGATCTCCAGCGAGGTCGCAGGCTGCATTCTCAGGCGCTCGAGACCGGCGGCGGCCTTGTGCGTGGCATCTACGTCGCGACGACGCTGGTGGTTATGTATGCTCGATGCGGCAGCATGGAGGAAGCTCGGCAGGTTTTCGACGGGATGAAATCCAGGAATGTGGCGTCGTGGACGGCTTTGATCCTCGGCTATGTGGAGAATGGAAGAAGCGAGACTGGCTTGGAGCTGTTCGAGAGGATGGAGAGGGAAGGGTGTAGAGCCGATGCTCGGACTTTCGTGGCCGGGATCATGGCCTGTGGGAATCTGGCAGCCAAGGAAGGTGGTCAGGGGAATTCGTTGAGCAATGGAAGAGTTCTAGCAGGCAAAGAAGATGCTTCTTCTGGAAGAGTTCTAGCAGCCAGAGAAGATGGTTCTTCACGGGAAAAGTTTTGGCGGGATGAGAAAGATGTGAAGAAGAGGATCAAGTTACAAGCTCTGGAAAGAGGGAGAGAGATGCATCGACGAGCTGCCGAGGCTGGCTGCGAGATGAACTTGTTCGTGGCGAATACTCTGGTGGACATGTACTCGCGGTGTGGGAGCCTGGTCAATGCTCGAGCAGTGTTTGAGAGGATGCCGTGTCACAGCTTGGTCTCGTGGACGGCACTTATCCAGGGTTGTGTGGAGAATGGAGAAGAAGAGAGAGCGCTGGAGCTCTTTTCACGAATGCAAGAGTCGCGAGGAGGGTCTTTGCCGGATGCTCAAACGTTTGTGGCCGTTCTCGCGGCGTGTTCTGCTCTGGCAACGAAAGAGAAAGACATATCCAGCAGCAGCAGCAGCAGCAGCAGCAGCAAAGAGAGGAAAGCTTTTTTGAAAGAGAAGGCGCTGGAAACAGGACTGGTGCTTCATTCCGAGGCCGAGAAAGCTGGGGTCACCTCCAACATCTTTGTGGCAAACAAGCTTGTGGATATGTACTCCAAGTGTGGGAGTATGGAGGATGCGAGAAGAGTTTTTGACAGGATGGCCTTCCAAGACGTTGTGACTTGGACGTCTCTCATCCTGGGATATGTAGAAAGCGGAGAAGCAGCATTGGGATTGGAACTCTTCGATCTCTTGGTGACATCTCAGCAAATTTTTCGAGATCCTCGGTTCTTCGTGGCTGGACTCATGGCCTGTGCTAGTTTGGTGGAGACGAGCAAGGCCGACTGCCTGGAAAAACTGGCTTTTATTCACTCTCAAGCTGGGAAGAGCGGGTGTGACTCGGATATGTTCGTGGCCAGCACTCTGGTGGATTTGTATGCCAAGTGTGGCAGCATTGGAAACGCTCGCGGGGTTTTCAATCGGATGCCTCAACGGGACGTGGTTTCCTGGACTTCTCTAGTTCTGGGATATGTGGAGAGAGGCCAGGGGGACATGGCTCTGATGCTTTTCTCGCTCATGCAACGTGAAGGTTGCGTTCCAGACGCTCGGACTTACGTCGCTGCCTTCATGGCTTGTGCGAGCCTGGCCGAGCATAAAGAAGAGTTACTAGATGGAAGAAAGGTCGAGGCTCTCCAGGAAGGAAAGCGTCTCCACTCGGAGGCTGTGAAGTGTGGCTTTCTCTCGGACAAGGTGGTGGCAAATTCCCTGGTAGACATGTACGCGCGCTGCGGAAGTATGGTGGAAGCTCGAAAAGTTTTCGACGAGATGCCGAGTCTAGACGTGGTTTCGTGGAATTCACTGCTGCTAGGATATGTTGTTAACGGGGAGAGTGAAGTGAGTTTGGAGCTGTTCGAGGAAATGCAACGCAAAGGCTGGGATCCGGACGCTCGGACTTTCGTTGCTGTTTTCAAGGCCTGCGGCAACCTGACATCCGAGAAGGAGGAATCGACGGCTGAGTGGCTCAAGCGAGGCAGTGCATTCCATCTTCAAGCTTCTCAGTGCGAGCTGGATTCTCACATCTTCGTGGCCAATAGTTTGATCGACATGTATGCCAAGTGTGGAAGCTTGGCCGACGCTCGAGCAGTCTTCGACAAAATGCCACTCCACGACTTGGTATCCTGGAACACGCTGCTCTCCGGCTACGCAGACAATGGAGAGAGCGAGAAAGCTCTCGAAGTCTACAAGCTCATGCGCAAAGAGGAGAGCTCCTCGTGCCGGCCAGACGCTCGAACTTTTGTTCCACTCTTGAAGGCCTGCTCCAACACCGCAGCTCTGGAAACTGGGAGAGCCATCCACGGCGAAGCTGTGCGGTCGGGAGTGGAAAGCAGTCCATTCCTCGCAGCCTCTCTGGTGGATTTTTACGGCAAGTGTGGAGGAAACATGGCTCAGGCGGAGCAAGCCTTCGACGTGACTCCAACCAGGAACTTGACGCTGTGGAGCGCTCTCATGGCTGGCTATGGTCGACTTGGAGACACGAACCAGGTACTTGGGCTGTTCCAGACGCTCGAGAAGACAGGCTTGCGGCTGGACGGAGCTACGTTTTGCTCGCTTCTCACCGCGTGTAGCCATGCCGGGCTGGTCGACCGGGGAAGAGAAGTTTTCCTCGTGATGGCTTCCAAGTATGGTGTTACTCCTGGCGTGGAGCACTACCACTGCCTGGTGGATTTACTGGGACGAGCTGGGCTTGTTGAGGAAGCAGTGAGCGCCGTGAAAAAAATGCCGCTCGGGCCGAGCGTGGTGGCGTGGAAGACGGTGCTGGCTGCGGCTCGGAAGTGGCAGAAGGTGGAGATTGGAAAGATGGCGTTTCAAGCGTTGGCAGCGCTGGAGGTGGAGGTAGACGAGGATCAAGCTGGATCCACGTTTGCGTTGATGGCGAACATCTACGCTGGAGCTGAGATGTGGGAAGAACAGGCACAAGTTCTCAAGCAAAAGAAGAGCTTGTTCTTGGCAACTTAAGCTCTACTTCTTCCGAAACGCTGGAAGCATTAGCACAGGAGAAGCTACGAGCGAGTGCTCTGATTCTGGGGGCGCTCAAGGCATGCAGCAGCGCCAAGGATGGGAAGATCATCCATGGCAATGCCATCCAGTTTGGAGCGATTGCGAACCTTTACGTGGCCAGTGGTCTGGTTCATATGTACGCTCGATGCGGCAGCATGGTGGATTCGCAGCGGGTCTTCGATGGGATGGTCCAGCACGATGGGGTGTCGTGGAACTCGCTGATTCAAGGCTATGCCACCAATGGGGAAATGCCGAGAGCGTTGGGCATTTTGTCGCTGATGATCTGGGAGAGTGAGAAGAGTTCTTCCGTGATTCCGACACCTCGGACCTTTGTCGCTGCACTCAAGGGGTGTAGCAAGTTGGCGGTGGAAGAAGATGGAAGGCTGGTCAATGGAAAGCTTGTCAAGGTTTCTTCGCTCCAGAAAGTTTCGGAGATTCACTTGGTGGCTGCGAAGTATGGAAGGACAGACTCGACAAGCGTTTTCGTTGGCAACTCGCTGGTGGATTTGTATGCCAAGTGTGGGAGCCTGGAGGATGCTCGTCGGGTGTTTGATCGGATGGATCATCGCGACAGGGTTTCATGGAACGTTTTGATGGCCGGATGTGCTTTTCACGGGGAGGAGGAGGCGAGTTTGGAGCTGTTCGAGCGGATGCTACTCCAGGGCTATGCAGCGAACTCTCGGAGCTTTGTCACGGCACTCAAGGCCTGCTCGAGTCTGGCAGAGAAGGAAGAAGCGATCAAGGGCTCACGGGATGGACAGTTTGTGAAGATTGTGGCTTTGGAGAAAGCTATGGCTATACACTCGCAGGCTGAGAGACTTGGCTTGGATGTTTACATGGCCAGCGCAGTGATCAGTCTATATGCAAGGTGTGGAAGCATCGTGAACGGGCTAAAGGTTTTCGACAGGATGCTGTGCCGTGATCTCGTGATGTGGAACACGATGATTCTCGGGTGTGCCGAGAACCATGACGCGGAGCTCTCTTTGGAACTGTTCGAGGCGATGAGCAAGCATAGCTGTGAAGCTCCGAATGCTCGAACTTTAGTTGCGGTGCTCAAGGCATGCGTATATCTGGCCGAGAAAGAAGAAGAAGCGCAGGAGATTTGTGGGAAGAAGATTAGAGTCATGCTGCTCGAGAGAGGCGGCTTTGCATGCTCGAGCCAAGGCAACCATGGAACTCAATGGCTTTCTAGCTTGCGCTCTCGTCGAGCTGTACTCCAAAAGTGGGAGCTTGGTGGACAGTATGGCCGTGTTCGAAGCTATGGCGCATGATCCAGATGTTACGTTGTGGACTGCTTTGATCACCGGGTGTGCTGACAATGGGGAAGAAGATCTAGCTCTTGAGCTCTTCTCTCAGATGCAAAGTCATGGAGGTTGTGCACCGGACGCTCATAGTTTTGTAGCGGCAATAAGAGCTTGCGGGTCTAGCTTGGCAGCAGCGAAAGAATCCAGGGAGACGAAAGTGCTCGTGTGCATGGAGAGAGGCATGGCTCTCCACATCGAAGCTACGAAACAAGGATTTGTTTCGAACAAGTTCCTGGCCAGCGCTCTAGTCGACATGTACGTGAGATGCTCGAGCATGGACGATGCTCGCAGGGTTTTTGCTGCGATCCAGCGTCCGGAGGTGGCAACTTGGAACACACTGCTTCTGGGATACGTAGAAAGCGGGCAAGGGGAGCTAGCTCTCGAGACTTACGAGCAAATGAAAGCTCGCGGTGGTCTGGAACCGAATGCTTCGACTCTTGGCCTCGCACTGAGGGCCTGTGGAGTGGCGAGAAGATTGGAAACTGGGAAGAGAGTCCATGGTGAGCTATGCAGGAGAGGCCTTGAAAGCGATGCTGTTCTAGCAACGTCGCTCATAGATTTCTACGCAAAGTTTGGCAGTCTAGACAACTCTCGCCAAGTGTTCGACTTGGTTTCTACAAGGGACGTGATCACCTGGAACGCATTGATAGCAGGATGGAGCAGCCAGGGGAGCTACACGAATTCTCTTGCATTGTTCTACGCCATGCAAGACGAGGATCTAAGGCCCAGCAGTGTCACCTTCGTCTCGCTTCTCAACGCTTGCAGCCATGCCGGGATGGTTGAGAGGGCGAGGAAGATCTTTCGTGCAATGGAGGAGTCGTCCAAGTTTGCCGTGACGCCTGGTATCGAGCACTATGGCTGCATGATCGCTGTGCTTTGTCGAGCAAACCAGCTCGATGACGCAGTGGCTATGGTGCGAGGCATGCCTGTGGAAGCCAATGCCGTGGCCTGGACGATCATTCTCAACGAGTGCTGGAAGCGGCAAAACTTGGTGGTGGGAGCGCTTGCATTCGACGCACTACAGAGAATGGGTTTTACCACATCCTCGGCTTTCACCTTGATGACCAGAACTGAAGGAGCTGGACAAAGTTTATAAAGAGACTTCATCTATATCAAACACGTACAAGCAAGCTAGCTGTTTAGCTGGCGAGCCGATCCACATCATCGTGCAGGCCCTGTTTGATAATCAAAGCTCGAGGTTTGCTTTGTATCTTTCCATTTGCTCGAGTAGAAATCTTATCTTGTAAGTTTTTTCTTGGCTTAATTTTCAATTTCTGGTCTTATAGACTCAGCAGCAAGCTGAAAGAAGAAAAGTCAAAGTGAAACACTGAGCACGAGAATTTCAGTCAAGCTGTGTTTTTTATATATGTTTTGATCTTACAAGACAAAACAATGCAGGAGATATACTCTTGTTATTCTCAATTGTCAAAAAAAAAAAAAAAAAAGTGGAGTGCGTGCCTGATCCAAATTTTAGGCCTTCAAACAAGTTCCCTCCCGAGACCTTGATAAGAATGGCTACGAAAATTAGTGTGTTGATTCTTGTTCTTCCTTTCTAACTAATTCATTTTCTTTGAATCGAATTGGATCAAGGGATTTCTTTTTACTATGCTTGACACATATGTCATGATTAGAGCACGCTTTCTCTCCTATGCTCGATCGAGTTCAATGCGTGGGTTGATCCGGGCTGAGTCTTCCATCCTGAAAAACTCTGGTCATGGCGTCGATCGATGCTCAAACTAAAATCTGTTCGTTAATCGATGCAGCTCCTTATGCGGGATCTTAAGTCCTGGACGTCGATGATAGCCTCTTTTGCTTGCCAATGGAGATTCTCGCCGATCCAAGCATGGTCGCCTAGAATGCAATGCTAGCTGCGTATATTAGGAATAAGATTGTGTTACAGTCCGAGATGGAGGAAATTTCTACTGCCATGCCTGGATATTGCAAACCAGAAAAGTCATAGTGGAACACCGTAAGCTGGTCCCGCGGTATTGACTCTATCGCAATTATTTTGTCAATCGTTTTTACCAGTCTCCAGTCTAAAAGTAAAGAAATAACATCAAGAAAAACTCAGAAAAATCATTTAGAAATCACAGTATCTTTCTGAGTTCGTCTGAAATAAAATACGCTCCTCTTAGTGTACATATTTATAGTCAAGGCTTAAAACAACCAGCAACCACCGTTCCTCTGTCTCTGAAACCACAAGGAGTCCAGAAATAATTTATGCGCATACAAGGTTATTGGATTGAACTCCAAGATCCATGACTTCAATTCTCTTCTTTAGACAGCTTGCTTATGTTCGAGGCAGCAAAAGACGCCTCCCAATTCTTTCCATCGAAGCACTTGACTTGGACGTCGCGCAGCGTGCCAGGATCCACACAATGCACAGTCACAGACACCCCGTCCGGATTGGAGCGCGGCTTATAGTAGGAGCAAATCCCACACACCTTGCAAAACAGATGCTTGGCCTGGTGCGTCCCAAACGTGTAGAGCGAGAGCCACTCCTCGGATCCGGGCTGAAGCCGAAACCTGGCCTCAGGAACAATGAAACTCGTGTTCCTTCGCATGGCACAATTGGAGCAATCGCACTCCCACACAACAACGCTGGCCGGGGCATCCACCTCCCACCGCACGCGACCGCAGTGGCAGCCGCCCTTGTGTGTCACAAGGCCCTCCATCGCACAAACACAAGCTCACTAGATCACTGAATTCTCTATACCCGAGGATAACGCTTTTACGGAATTTCCCAACTTTTGCAATAAAAGCCATCACAATCACACCTGATTCTAATGCTTAATTGTGAAAGCTCCTCATATAAATCCTACATACCTTCACATTTTAACAACACTTTGTGGTGCTTACTTGATTAAAGTGAGACCATTTGGAGGTCCCACTTAAAAAGCTGGTCCCGCAGTATTGACTCTATTGCAATTGTTTTGTCATTCGTTCTTACCAGTTTCCAGTCGAAAAGTAAGGAAATAACATCAAGAAAAACTCAGAAAAATCATTTAAAAATCACAGTATCTTTCTGAGTTCATCTGAAATAAAACACGCTCCTCTTAGTGTACATATTCAGAGTCAAGGCTTAAAACAACCAGCAACCACCGGTCCTCTGTCTCTCAAACCACAAGGAGTCCAGAAATAATTTATGCGCATACAAAGTTATTGGATTGAACTAATGGCTAATGTCCAAGATCCATGACTTCAATTCTCTCCTTTAGACAGCTTGCTTGTGTCCGAGGCAGCAAAAGACGCGTCATTCTTTCCGTCGAAGCACTTGACTTGGACGTCGCGCAGCGTGCCAGGATCCACACAATGCACAGTCACAGCCACCACGTCCGGATTGATGCGCGGCTTAAAGTAGGAGCAAATCCCACACACCTTGCAAAACAGATGCTTGGCCTGGTGCGTCCCAAACGTGTAGAGCGAGAGCCACTCCTCGGAGCCGGGCTGAAGCCGAAACCTGGCCTCGGGAACAATGAAATGCGTGTTCCTTCGCATGGCACAATTGGAGCAATTGCACTCCCACACAACAACGCTGGCCGGGGCGTCCACCTCCCACCGCACGCGGCCGCAGTGGCAGCCGCCCTTGTGTGTCACAAGGCCCTCCATCGCTCTAGATCCACAAACACAAGCTCACTAGATCACTGAATTCTCTATACCTGAGGATAACGATGCCAAAATGAGAACAGTGTGTACCTATGGACTCTTTTTTTATCTTTAGTATGATGACGCCGACCTCGAATCGCGATGAGCAGTATGAGCTACGTCGGTACGATCGGCCTCGTCGAGGGCTCCGGTAGGGAGAGTAGCCAGGCGACGCTGAGCGTTCCCTTCTGCCACGAGAAGATGGGGAGTATCCCCTCCTTGAAGAATGCCTGTACTCGCTGCGTCTCCTTGAGTAGGCTGTCGAAATCAAACATGGAAGTCATCAAAGAGACGTAAGAAAAAAGGAAAGAAACAGAGGCTTGAGAAGCGAAGGAACTTACAGACTTCTCCTATGCAATGTGGCAATTTCTCAGAGAGGCCAAGTTTTTCAGGAACCCAGCTATCTGGGTTCAAATCCTGGCAATGGATGCAAGATTTTCCTTTTCTTTTCCATCTGATTCAATTCACCGCAGTTTCAATTAGCATTCATGGCGTGGAACACCAAAACTCGTGCATGAGTGCTGTGTGGTGTGGATGTAAGAGCAACCTCAACAGCTTTGCAGCATGTCCAGGAGAGAGGATTTTTAACCCAATTTTCAGTACTGATTTCCTTTGAAATTATTCAGAGATGAAGTAGTTTCACAACACCCATTATGAAGCACCAAAACATTTGGAAGTGCTTTGTTACAATGTTCGCACCTACGGTGAGAATATATAAAGATAGAATTGCTTAACCCTGGCCCCCGTCATGTCTATCACGCGTTAAGTCGGTGCGTTTCATGGCTGGATTTGACATTTCCATTCGTTAAGTCGGCGTGTTCCATGGCTGGATTTCGTTAAGTCACAGCGGCTTCGCTCCATCCATGGCAGCTTGTCGCTAAGTTCTTGAGCTAGAATAATGCACCATCTTTGTTAAAATGCAGAGAAACAGTCTGTATGTCTTGCTATTTAACTATTACTTATTGGAGTCTTCCACCACGTAAGCGCTGAGATTTTCCATGATGTATATTTTAACATAGTGGATTGATATTGGAGCGAACAAGGAGTTGTTGGAACTTGGGCATTGCATCAGACCCATCTTGAAACACAAACCAAAGAGACTTTTTTATGAAGTCCAGATTTAAGAAAAGAATCAACGTGAATCCCCCACTAGATACAACAGTTTAGAAATCCTTTTTCACCAGACCAAGCAGCATCCATATCTGGGTTTGCTTTCAAGGCCACCTCGCACAAAGCTCTTCTTCTTCTCGCAGAACTCCCTAGAACTTGCTCTGAGACATCACTTTGAAGTGTTTGTAAAGCAGCTTTTCCTCACTCAATAACTTATATGGTGAGGACCATCATTTGCTTGGACATATACAACAGGCAATGTTATTGGTAGGTTTTCACTGCCAAACTGCTGAAGTTCATCGTGGGCACCTCGGTCACCGGCGTCACGGGCAGCACCTGGATGCCCAGCCGGACCTCCAGCCACTCGGGCGGACCGAACCAGAGAGCCGTGTCGCGCTTGTTGGCCCAGAGCACCCCGATCATCCGGTTGCGCGCCACAAACTCGGCCTCGTACAGCTCGCTGCCCAGCGGTACGCGACTGCACGGCGTGCGTCTCGAAGGCCACCAGCGTGACGCCGAGCTCGGCCAGCGCCGCGTCGTGGAAGGCGGAGCCCAGCAGCGACGCCGCATAGTACGAGTTGACGGCCTCGCTGGTGCTCTCCTGGTTGCGGCCCTCGGCGAAGTTCTTGAGCCACGAGTGCATGAGCCAGTGGTGATCGTTGTACATTCCAAGGCCAAAGTCGGCACCACTGTTGGCAGCACCGTCGCTGCTCCCCACTGGCGATCGTAGCCAATGCTGTTACTCATGTTTAGATTGACAGCGTGGTTACTGTCCAGCCACTGCGCGAGCGAGCTCCTCAAGGTGCCGGCAATCCTCCCTGTCAAGTCGGGCCTGGCCACCTCCTCGGCTATGAGCGCGAGCCGCGCAGCACGGGCAGCGGCCTTGCCGAAGAAGTACGTGGACGAGTTCACTATGACGCCCGGGAGGTCATATAAGGCATACAAGGCCATCTGGAGTGGCAGAGGTGATGGCATGATCAAGTACGTGATAGGGACTCCTAGTTTTGTCAAGAGCGTTAGTAACCACTGCAGTTGGTTATCTTTATTACAAAGCATCAATGCTATGGAGATGGCTTAAACTCAAGACACTCAGTGTCACTAAATAAAAGTTCTAAAGCAAACTGGAGCTGATATATTATTTTTCTTTTTGTTTTCTTCTGGGTGGGAAGAAATAAGAAGAAAAGATGGAGACTTTGTGCATTTATGCAAATTGGAAATCTCAACAGATGGCATGTTGTGGAATGGAAAGTAATATTGCATTCAACCATTTTGTTTAAGGATTTGAGTCAATTCTTTTGAACCTGAATTTCTTTTTATCTGTAAGAGTCTTAACCATGTTGG